ATGCATGAAATACTTTTCCTTGTCGGACTACACTCAGACCTGCCCTCTTATTTCCACTGCTCCGTGAATGGAGGGTGGGAGTCGGGGCGGGGAGCATTTGCTACTAACAAGGGTCAGAAACATTTCCATTGTTTTTGTTAACTGGCAATAGTAACAAACAACTTATATTAATGATTTTTATTAGTGGATGATCTAGGTGCGACAAATGAAAGCAATTTTTGTTATAGATTGCTTCAAGAAGTCTCATCTATAGCTGTGTGTCTCAGGCAACAAGTTCATTTTCTTTAATAATCAATTTTAATATTTTCCAATAATGTAATTAGTTCTCATTTCACGTGAGGCTAAATTAATGGTCCAATTCAAAGTTGGAAAAACTAAAGAAAGTTTTTGTTTACTAAGTGTTTTTTTTTTCGGGGAAACTCAGTTTCACATGACACTTTAATTGATGAATGTGTTCAACTTTCTTGCATGTAACAAGTTCTCTATGATCCCCTACTAAGAGAATCCTATGTTAAAATTTTTCTTTTTAAGTCTATTATAAAATAGACATATAAGATGTATGTGTGCATGTACTCCTATGATACATACACAGGCAGGTGTCTGTATGCAAGCAGTTATACTTACATACAGAGTGGGCAGAATCAGATGTCACTATTGTGTTGGAGGAAAGGGTCCTCTTTAGCAAGGCCTATTGCTGCAATTTTTAAAATATGTATCCCCATTTCAAGCAGAGCACAAATAGTGATTGATTATATTGCAGTGCCCTGCAAGTAGCTAAAAAGAAATAAAATGGGAAAATGGATTTGAACCTTATGCTTCCCAAAACTGTTACAATTCATAAATAACAAAGACAGGACATGTTTAAGAAGCAGAGGCCAAATGGGAAACATTATCATATGAGGAGCCTGGGGCCATTCCTAGATGCCCTCCAAGTAGGGCATTAGGTCACTGTCAGTGGGGAGTGCAGCCAGCCCCTTCAGCCATGGCTTTGGGGGCTCCGGCACAGCCTGCTCCTCCTCCGTTCCTCTGAGAATCATCCGGAAAAGTTCAGAAACACATTTACACCGGGGAGGAGGCATGCGGACCCTGGAACTCCCCTTCAATAAAACAATCTTTACTCCCATCCATACCCAATTCCTCCAGCCCCTGGGGTGGACAAGCTCACTGCAGACGGTGACTCGGGATAAGGACACTCCTTCCAGAAGCTACTGGCCAAAGAGGCGCCAGAAAAAATTCTGAACTCTAAGTTGAGGCAGGAGCCCAAAATGGCCCCACAGAGGGTGGCCTGAAGCTGCAAAAATACAATTGCTCAACCACAAACACACCAACCAAGAAGGTAGGGAGAGCCAGAGGAAGGCGGTGCCAGGCTCTCCTGGCTGAGCAAGGAAAACATTCAGCCTCATGCCTCTCAGTACTCAAGTCGGTCATTTTCCTTCCATTCTAAAAGAAAGCCGAATTTGAAACAAACAAATCAGCAAACCATGCCTAGGAGCCATTTAATCTCAGATTCACATTTCCCAGCAGGCTTTCTAGTTCTCCACAAATAACATTGCTGCGCACACTGCTCCCCCGCTAACAGTTGGGGGTGGGGGGGCGGGGGGCGATGTCTGGAGAGAGAAGACATTCGATCAGAATTCACAGCAGCTTCTCACAACTCTCTTGTTTATAGAAAATGAATGGTCTGCCTGCCTTGCTTTTAGTTCAGAAAAGGGGTCAGTTTTTATCAGCACAGTTCACACAGATCCTGGGCTTTTTTTCCTTTATCTTAAATTGACCCGCTTTTAAGATAAAGACATAATAGAGAAAGCATTGACCTTACCTGATCCCTAATGAGTTGGAAGTCAGAACACCCCGCTCTCATTTCCTCTTATCTCGCTTGGGTCGCCTGGGAAGAGACTCGCGCTACCTTTGGTGCCCTCGCGCCGGGAGACAGCCCCTCGCCGGCGCGCACAGGCCGGGGGACGCGCTGGGAGAGCGTCGCGGCCTCTAAAGTCTGAGAATTCCTCTCTGGGTTCAAAATCGCAGACCTCGCTGCCAGACCTAGGCCTCGCCCAGCTCCGGGAGGATTTACAATCCCTTCGAAGGCTCCCGAGCAGGTCGTCCTCTTGGAAAGACCAATCCCTAAGCCGTGGGAAGAAGAGCTGCCTCCTGCGGCTCTTGGACTGGAGCGCGCGGGCCTCCCCGCCTCCAGGAGTCCGTGTCCTGAGCGCTTCCCGCGGCGTGGGCTGTGGCCTGGCTCTGACTGCACTCTGGGCAATCTTAAGCCAGCTACTTCCCACCGGGCCAGCCCCCTCCCAGAGCCGCTGCGGGCCGCTGAGGCATTCCCGGCCCCTCACCCCCTTCCTGGCCTCGAGGACTCGGCTGTACCTGCTCTGGCCCCTGTTGCGGGCGGCCGCAGCCCAGGCTCTCTTCTACCCGCTCAGAGCGTCTGTGCCCCGCTCTTCTGGCTTCCCCGGAACCCGGCTCGGTCCCCAGCCCCGGGCCCTGCCAGCTGAGAGGGCTGCTGTCCTGCCTCTCAGACCAACAGATCCGGGTTCCCAGGCTGGAGCGGGGGTGGGAAGCCGCTCCCGGATGCTCAACATCAAACAAGCCAAGCCTGGGGCTTCAGGCCCCGAGCCACTAGAGCCTCTCTCCAGGGCTCTCAAGGAAGTCCTCTTGTTCACAGGGCAGGGTGGGGGTGGGGGAGAGGAGGAAAGGGGGAATGCTGTCTGCAAAATCCCCCCACTCTCCCAAGCGTCAAGGCCTAGGGTGCTTGGGGGGGGGGGGGGAGGGCGCTCAGCAGCGTCGCCTGGATCTCGAGGCGAATTGTGCCGCACCATGCTTGGGGAAGCCTTGGGCTCTTCCAGGCATGTCAGCGCCAGGAGCGTCCTCAGAAGGCTGATGCGTCCGTCGGGGGAGGCCAGAATTGACCCAGGCCAGAGGTACTGGAGTCCTAGAGGAGGTCCCCTCCAGGCCTTTGCAGGGGATGATGTGGGGGGCAGCGGGTGTTTCCATGTTGCGTTTTTTGGCTACACTGAGCTTGCACCTATTCCCTATCAAGACGCTTCAAATTGCGTTCCAAACCTGCTTTCTGCAGCCACAATCTCCTGGCCAGGAGCGGGAGCTGGTGGACCCAAGGCCCTATTGTCTGCGTCCCATCCACAGACCCATTGAATTTACCCTTTCCGGGGACAAATGAACAGACTTCAAACTAAATTGGCTTTCCAGCCAAACGGATGAAGAATGCATTCGATAGAAACTCCATCCACTGCTGAGAGTGCCACAGCCCATTAAAATCGTGACTGTCAGAAACCTGCTCTCGGCTAGCATAGGGCGGGGATGGCAGCGGCTCTGGCCATTGGCGGGCACTGCCCATCTTGTCCCCCACCAGGCTTGTTGCTGAGCACTGGCCATGTTGATCAGAAACTCCCACACCCACGGAATTGGGACCTTAGGTGCCAAACATCTCCCGGCCCTGAGCTGGGTGGCTTGACCACTTACACACCCTGTCCAGGAACACTGCTGCCCCTCCCAACACATGTGTATAAACATCCGGTCCTGGATGTTTGCTTGTTTTCCAAAAGGTGAGACCTGCTGAAATTTCCTCCAACTAGCACCCTCCCTAGACCCAACCGATCATCCTTTCTAAATCCCCAAGTCTTTTCAGGATATGGAAGCAGTTTCCCAAGGCACGACCGGAGAGAAGCAGAAGCCCAAGGAAGTCGACCAAGAGGACTGCAGTAATGGGAAAAGGCCTGAGGCCTGAGGCCTTCCCTCAAAAGTTCCTGAGTGATGAGGGTGGAAGTCAAGAAGAGAAGTGACGAGTCAATGAAGTGAAGAGAGGAAGAAATGATGGGGAAGGGAGAGCAAAAAGGGAAAAGTTGAAATTCTAGACAAGAAGTGAGTACATGATAAATATAAATCAATCCCCCACAATCAAACACTTCCAGGCCTAGGAAAAAGTGCTAGGAAGGGCATCTGCAGTCAGCCCACTCGCCAGGTTTCCTTGCAGGTTTATCAGGGTTCGATGAGGAAGGGACACCAGCCCATCCTGGTATAATGATTTCTCTCTATACAGAACCACTACTTTCTTCTCTTCTCCCCAGGTAACCCTGAGAGTTCCCCAATAACCACATCTGGGCACCAAAGAAACCAGGAAATAAGAGGAAGGAGGAAACATTAAATATTTCAATTTTTTTTAATTTTTTTTTTGCTGGGGGTAGGTTGGTCAGGGAGAGATAGAGAGTTGGGAATAAGTGAAAAATAAGATTTAGGAGCCCAGAGATAGAAACAAGTAGAACAAAGAGGAAAACCCAGCTCCCAAAGTCCTGTGGGAAGGGAAGGAGGGTGTGCCTAAGCTAGCAGCCCAGTTGGACACCTCCCAGGGCCAGAACACCTCCCGAGGCCGAGGCCGGAGAGGCCTGGAAAAGCAGGGATCCGCGGCCAACCTTGGATGGGGATAGCCATTTCATAGTAGAAGCAGAACTGGTAACAGACTTTTCCACTTTCAAGAACAACCTTCCACCAAATTCTAATTCCAAGGAGACTAGACTGGGAGTTAGAAATAAAAGATTGATGCAGAAATCTACAGGGGCAACCGGTTCAGTAAAAATAATTGCTCATTCAGGGTAATTGACTTAGCTGTATAAGACCATAGTAGATACTTTCAAAAAACAGAAGCCTGGTTCTGAAAACTAGTCCTTTGGTCTAGTTCTCTTCCTTCTTCCTTTTCCCTCCTGAAGGAAGTAGTTTAGCTCTTCTCCTCTTTATTGCCAAGTCTCAGGACCGCTCAAGTTTTGGTTCTACTCAATTCGGAGGCAGAAGGCCAGGACTCCTTAGCTGGTTCAGCATCCTTTGAGACCCTAAACAATTCAAATCCATTCAGGCCAATGATGACTGCCCCCTCCAACCAAAAATGCCATTTAAAGCCAAATCAAAACCAAACAAAAGGTGGGTTTTTAATCAGAAAAGGAACCTTTTTAATTTGTATAATTTATTAGAAGCTTCTTAGGAACTATATTTAAGTCAGGTATCTACATAAGTTACAACAGAAAAAGACTGACGCTTCAAATACCAAAACTGCCAAATAATATACACAGATTTGTCAGTGCCCATAAAAAAAATGATGGGCTGGGGATGGGACCGGGACTGTTTTGTTTAGTTTTGTTTTTTTACAGTAAAATGTACATAGTACTAAAAACTAGTCATTTAGTCCAACTTTTGACAGCATTTTACAGCTACAGGTTCACATCAAACATGAAACAGTTCGCCAGGGCCAGCGGGCTGAGCCCGGCAGCGGAAGGTTTCGGGAGGGGGCATTTCCTTTGTGTCAGTGACAAGTGGGTTCTGTGGAAGTGTCCTTCCTCTCCCCAGCCCCCATCTCCCCTTCAAAGAAATCTTGGTATTTACAAGTGAGTCCACTATGCTGGCTGGCACAGTGAACCAAGAGTGAAGTTTGTGATCCTTAGAGTCCGGAGCCATGTCAGCATAGAGGATGCCCCGCCCGTGCGTGGGAAACCATTTGAACCACCTAAAAGACACCTGGAAAGTTGTTCTTGTTATGTCCTTCTCTGTTTAAAGGTTCCTTAAAGGATTGGATTCCCTTGGTTATTTTTATTTTCTTTTTTTAAAAAAAATCCCACAAATTTGAGAGAGAGAGAGAGAGAGAGAGAGAGAGAGAGAGAGAGGAGAAAGACATCCAGCAGTTTGGTCTTTGTGTTTTTTCCCTTGGTCTAAACCGGACAGGTTCTTTAGAAAAGCCGAAGCGCTAGGCTAGGAGAGCCGGGTGCTTGGTGTGTATGGCGGGCAGGAGGGGAAGCAATGAGGCTGTGTGCTGGGCTAGGCGCGGCCTAGAGTCCTCTCACCAGGTCCGACCATATAGCAAGGTGGAGCAGGACATGGTGCCATAGTCCGAGCCCGAGGAGTTCAGGTGGGACAGGCTGGAGACCTGGCCCTGCAACGCCGCGGGGCTGGTGGCGTGGTGCGCCAGGTCCGGAGACTGGCCCGCGCTGCCCGGCTGGTGGCCCGGGTGCGCACCCAGGCCGGGGCCGCCGCTGCCCACTGAGATCGCCGCCGCCGCCGCCTGGGCGGCCTGCGCCTGCTGCTGCGCCTGCTGCTGTGCGTGGCCTTGCAGGCTGGCCGCGCCCGTCGCCGGGGCGCCTGCCTGGCAGGGTTTGCCGTCTTTCACGAGGACCGGCACCGCCACGCGGCGCGGCGACTGCTGCTGCGCTTGCTGCTGCTGTGGGCACCCGGCGCCCCCGCCGCCGCCGCCGCTGTCCTGCTGCAGCTGCTGCTGCGCCGCCTTGTCCTTGGCCTGGCGCTTCATCTTGTAGCGGTGGTTCTGGAACCAGATCTTGACCTGCGTGGGTGTCAGGTGGATCATGCTGGCCAGGTGCTCGCGCTCCGGAGCCGACAGGTATTTCTGCTGCTTGAAGCGTCGTTCCAGCTCGTACACTTGCGCCTGGGAGAAGAGCACCCTGCGCTTGCGGCGCGGTGCGCTTGGCAGCGGGGCCATGTTCTTGCTCACGTCCCCCAGTGAGCCCAGGCCGCCCATGCCGCTCATGTTCATGCCGCTCGCCGGGCCCATGAAGCGGGAGACTGTAAGCGACAAACGCACAGCGTCGGCCGGGGCCAGGCCGGGCCAGGCCACCTCTCCCGTCCGGGCCCTTGGCCGGCCGGGCCCCGACGGCGCCCTCCTCACCGAGGCCGCCTCGCCCGCCCCGAGAGGCGCAGCAGCGGGCATCTCCAGCGCCTGCCCTGGCCGTGCTGTCGAGGGGTTGACTGGAGAGTTCCCGCCTCAACTCCGGTTACCTCCCGCAGCCTCAATACCCCACCCAAAAAGTACAGTCGTTCCTTTCACACCCAACCGTGGCCCGAGTCGCGGGGTTAACGGGCCCCCGGCGGGGCGACGAAGTGGGCCCAGGCCAGGAGGTGGGGCTCGATGGCAAGACCCCAACTTTGGGAGCTTAGGAGATCGAGGTATTCAGAAAGCCAGAGCCCCCGAACGCTCTGCGTCTTGGCCGCGCTCTCCTGTCAGCCCCAGTGCTGGCACTTGCTCGGACCATTTAGATCCCGCTCTGGAGCCGCGCGCCCTCCCACCTGATTAGACTGGAGAGGGGCCGCCCGGCGCCGGAGCGCGTCCCGGCACCGCAGCTCCCCGCCCGGACAGGCCGCACCTGTAGGCACCCCGCTCGCCCCCACTCCCTAAGTTCCGGGGCTCCTCCGCGGGCGCGCCGAGGTCTCCAGCGCAGAGCAGAGCTGCTAGGGGGCCTCCTCTGGGAGACGCCGAATGCCGGCGCCTGCCCGAAAGTCCCGCCACTAAGTCTCCTGGACCCTCAGCCCAGCCAGGGGAAGAATCCCCAGCTCCCGCGCCCGACTCCCTGGCGCCGCTGCCGGGCCGCCCACCCCGATTCCCGGCGCATGGCCCGCGGGCGCCGCGCCTTTCCGGCGGCTCTCCCCGCTCCTCCCGCGGTTAGCACGCGGCCCCGCGGCGGGGCGGCCTCACTTACTGGCGGGGAAGCGCGGGTCTGGGTTGGCGCCGTACCATCCGGGGCCCGAGGCGGTGTTGCGCATGGTGTCCTGGTACGGCGGCAGCTCGCTCATGTTGCCCAGGTTGCCGTTGCAGTAGCCCCCCACGGCGGAGTGCGACAGCTGGGGCACCCCCGCCGCAGTCATGTGGTAGGCGGCGGTGACGGCGCCGTGGTGCCCCACCGCGTGCTGCTGCATGGCCGCGGCCGGAGGCGCCGCCTGGCCCTGCCTGTAAGCCGCCAGCGGAGCGCCGAGGCCGCCGCCCTCCATGCCCACTTTCTTGTAGCTTTCCTCCAGGGGACTCAAGATGTCAGACACTGAGAACGGAGTCGTGTGCTTTGGACTCATCGACATGATTCGGCGGCGGCTGGAGGAGGAAGGAAGAGGAGGAAAAAAAAGGGAGAGGGGGAAGGCGAAGACTCGCAGCTTTTTTTTTTTTCTCCCTCTGCCAAATATTCTGGTGTTACCTTAACGCCGATCTTGTTGGATGTACACGTAACCGAGTGGACCGAGTCCGCCTTAATTGGCTTGAGTGGAGGCTCGGGGGCTGCCTCGCGTTTGTTTTAGCCCGGCGCCAGGTTTTAGGCAGCTACCAGAGGCGGGGCGTAAGCGCTAAAGCAACAAGACAATAGAAGCCTACATCTTGCCCGAGATAATTAGCTTACATGCTGATGACAAGGTAAACACCTTTAAGTTTCACTTGTCAGGATTTTTAGGTTTCAAAGAGGGAGAAAGAGAGGGGGAGGGGGGGACAGACACTCGACCCGAAGCATTTCTTTCCCCCTCCCCCTACCCCTTCCCCCCGTATTTTGTGGGGTGCGGGCGGCGTACGGGGGAGGGGGGGCGGAGGAGGGGAAGGAGGAGGGGACCGAGAGAGGGAGGGCGGGAGGTGGGGTACAGAGTAGCCGAGGAGGAGGGATGGATGGTGGTGAGGCTGGAAGGTGAATGCTGCTTTGCAACCAACTTTCGGAGTTACAAAGTGAACCACTCCAGTCTGGTCGGGGTTCCCAGGGCGGGCGGAGGCAGGTGTTTAGAGGGAGGGGGCCAAGGGCTGGGTTGGGGGTTTCACCTGAGCCTGCTGGGGCTGCTCCTCCCTCCCGCCGCGGCCTCCCAGCCCCGCGCCTTCCCACAGCCTCCGGACCACATCGGGCGTCGCGGCGCAGAACCCCAATCGCCAGCCAAGGAGCTTGCGAGTCGGGACGAACCCTGGAGCCGCACTGTGGGCTGCGTGTCTGTCAGTCTGTCTTCTTCTGCCCCTGTCAGAGGGACACCTCTGCTCCCCGCCCCCTTTCTCTCTACCCAGGAGAGATTCCCTCCGGGCGGAGGGGGCGCTGAGCAGGGGAACGGCTGCCTCCGGGAGGTTGCCCAGATCCCCGCGTCCCTCCCTCCAGCTCAGGGTCTTCTCCGCAGACCAGCTCCCCCCCACCCCCAGCACGCCCACCCTCCACCCGCGGTTCCCTTTCCGCACCTCCACCCCCTGGCCAAGGCAAGCACGTCACTGGTCGGTGGAGCTGGGAGGCAGGGGGGAGGGGGGTAACGCTGGGGGCCGTCACTTAAATTGCCCCACCTCAAACAAACCTGGTGTCCCCAGCCCTCGACCATCGCCTGGAGGCGCGGGGTTCTGGGACTGGAGCTGACTTTCCAAGGACATCACAGCCCCAGCACCCGAGCCCAGGGTCACGCTGATCTCCCCTCTGAAGCTTCAGGGAGGGTGTGGGCAGGGAGCGTCCTGGGTGAACTGAGCCTGAACCCCCGCGGGCCCAGCTGGCCTGGAGGGGGCGAATCTCGAGGCGCGAGCAGCCCCGCGGGCGGGAGGCTGGGCTGAGGCTGTCCTCCTCCCGGAGCTCAGCCATGCAAAAGTGCACTTGCTTCCTCGGGAATAACCAAATATCTTTGTTTAAAGTGGCAGCGTAAATGGCCAGTCGCTTTGTGGCCACGCTGGATATTAGTAGATGAGGATCATTCTGCTTCAATTGGACGCCTCTCATCCAGCGAGCAAGGAACTGCTTAGGAGGAAGTGGGTTTCCTGTCTGCGCGTTCCCAGGCTTCAAGTGTGAGCCCGGCGCCTGGAGGGTCCTTGGGCGCCTGGAGAGGAGGAGCTGCGGACTGCATCCCCAGTCAGTCCCGAGGCATCTGCCTCCCACTCCAGCCAGGCCCCGGCCCCTGGCCGAGCGGACTACAGAGCAGCGTAGCCCTGCGCGGTGCAATACCTGAGACCCACTCTGATTTTGCCCATGGATTTTAACCGCTTTGTTTTGTTTTGTGTTCTCTTTGGCTGCTTTAGCTTCCTCTCCGGCCTTGGGGCTGGGAGGGGGGAGAGCGCTCCGGTGGCTGGGGCCTCCAAGACACTGCGGGGGCCGGTTAAGGAGGATTCTCGAATTTGGTTTTTGTTTTCCAATTTTATTTCTCCTCCTTGTAGAGGAGGAACTCCCAATGATGAACAGGCGCTTTGAACGATATAATTCGGCAGCTTAGGCGCCTTTTCCATTAATAGCAATTGTAGTAGGAAAGTTGTTTTTTTATTGGCTTTTTATTTCAATCCTCTCCTTGAGGACTGCTCTGTACTCCCTCAGTACAAAGCCAACTTCTATACTAACATTTGCTTTTCTTGCCACCTATGTCCCTTACTAGGCAAGAGAAACAAGAGAAAGCTCAGGGCACCCCCTCTCCCCCCCCCCCCAGCCACCCTGTTGGCCCACATTTCTGTGCAGCCTCTTTCGTGGCTTGGGAGCAAGCAGCCCTGTGTATTGGCACGCAGAGAGGTGCTTCCGATTGTGCTGAAGACAAATGCCAAGCCGGTACCTTGCCCTTCCTTCCAAAGGGCTTTCCTGGAGAGTGGGGGGTGGGGGGTGGGGGGAGGGAGCGCTCTCAGGAAGGACTCAGACCACATCAACTGTGCTTCGTCAATGTCATGTCTAAGCCTAGGGAGCAAGGAGGGAAGACGACACTGGGCTCAAGTGAATGGTCAGAGCGGACAAAACTGAACACCGATCTCCATCTGCAGGCCGGACCCCAGCCGCAGGCTTGCGTCTCCAGGGAGGTCTTAATGTGAGGACGGGTGGGTTTCACAGTAATCCAGTTTTTTATTTTCTTTCTCCCTCTCCATTGTGTCACATTATTGGTAAGTGTAAGGAACACCAAGTGCAGAATGTTGAACATTTCTCCCAATCTCAATGTAATTTAGTAATAGAGGCAATTCTTCACAGGTTTTTTTGTGATGTTAACGTAAGATTGGGCACATATCCGTGCTTTGGAAGCTTTGGCAATCTTTAAGCTTGGTGTCAGCGCTGGAGATTTCTGTATTGTTACCATTAATACCTCCCTCTGCCCTTAAGACCCTGAATCTGAGTGAAGGGAAGAATTGGATGTATCTTCCACAGACCCTGAGCCGTGCCTTCTGGGCCTTCATCCCTCAGCTGATCTCCAGCTCTGCATCAGGCATCAGCTCAGGTGACCGCAGCTCCCCACCCACACGCTCACCCCTGGCTGGCTGAGGGCACCAGGCCCCAGAGCCACGCGGCAGGAGTTGTGTCTGAGCTACTGAACTGCAGCCAAAGCTGCAAGGAGTGGGGTGGGAGGGCTTCCACTCCTGCTCCACCCTTTCCCCCCAAACCAGGATTGTGTGACAACTTCCCACTCTGTCCCATCTCTGTCCCACCCCAGGCATTGTGTACTGGCACCTGCCTTCATTTCGACTGGCGTGGGCCTTTGCAGCACCTCTCCTACCCCTATCCCTTCACACACACACACACACACACACACACACACACACACACACACACATCGCTCTGCACTCTCCCAGGCATGCTGCACTGCCAAGAATAAGCCCCAAAATAAGGTGTCTTATGGGGGGGAGGGGGGAGCTGATATCTATGTCTCTGAGCTTGTCCAAGACCTTGAGAGCCCCACCCCTGGCCCCAACACCCCTGCCTGTTCAAAGCGTCCTTTCAGCTGCCTCTCAGAGTCATCTGCAATAGGCAGCCCGGTTCAACCAGCAATTTCTTCATGGCTGCAGGAGAGAACTTGGGAACCCTGAGTCCACCCCAGAGGGCCCAGGGGCGTCTTCCTTTACCCCTCACCTAACCCGTTCTGAGGCGGGGTGGATGCATGCGGTAGGGCGGTGGCAGGACAGGTCCCAGCTCTGGTCTCTCAAGTAGCTTTCCCGGGCGGGCGCGGCCGCACACACCCATCTCAGTCCCTGCCGCCTGGGATCCGGATCCGCTCGGAACCTAGGACACCTGGGCCCAAGCCAGGTCAGGGATGTTTGGAATTGCCACCCCCCTTTGCTCACCACACCCACCCGAGTGGTCCCAAGGGACAGCCCTTTGATGCCTCCTGGGGCACTTCCTTAAGAACTTAGAACTGGGGGCTTCTACGGAGGCCCAGACTTGGCTGGAATAGGAGGTGAGGCCCGGCTTTGGGGATAAGAAGGGAATGTCTGTTCTCTGCCCTCCCACCTCACCCCTCACATTTTTCTAATTCCCTTCTTGGTACTTCACACCTCCTCTTGGGCGGTGATTGACCACGTTGTTTCATGATGCTGTTATTTTGCTCCGGGTTTCATTGCAATCCGTGATTCATTCCACAAATAATTTTGAGTGCTGGTGGCTGTGCCAGGCTCTGTGCGAGGCCTGAAAATTCAGCCGTAGACAAACAAGATGTGTCTCTTACCCACACGGAGCTTACAAATTAACAATAAATCACCCAAGTGATATGTAGTTATTTGGTGACAAGTGTTATTCCGGGATCCAACCGAGAAAGACAGAGTTGTAATGAAAGTTTGCCTGTGGGTTTGTTTCTACACCATTTCCTGATCTTCAAGTGCTGAGGGGTGGTGGGCAGAGCTCTGGGGTAGAAGTCAGAAGTCCTGGGATTCCCGCGGGCTTTGCCACTTTCAGCTGTGGTGTATATAGCTCTTCTGGAGCCTACACACCCTGGAGCCACTCCGATCTCAGCCAGCATAAACGAGGATGTTGTTTTCCAGATCCTCCCTCTCCTCGAGGGCAAGCCCCTATTTTATTTCTCCTTGAAGCCTTCTGTGCCTCAAGAAATGTTGAATTAAGGAAATAAAGCCTCTTAGCACCTGTTTCCTAGGCTGTGAAAATGGTTATAACCTGCTCTGTGCTGTGCTAAGGAGTCAGGCATTTAAGGATGAGAGCATGTGCATGAGTTTGTAAATCACAGAAATGGCTAGAAAACGGAAGGGGTTATTACTTCTGGTTCTGTAACAGGTTTCTAGAAACTGTGACCCCAGGCCTCTAACTCTCTGCAAGAAGCTCCTGGCTCCTTCGTCCACTCCCAGGCCCAGGCCCACAGAGGGCGAGGTCTCCTCAGCCAAGTGCAGGCTCACTGGA